ACCTTCCCTGACCCCTCATCTTGACTGAGGGTTCCTTCCAATACCTCTCTGTATCATGGAACATTCTTTTCTGTTCGGCTCATGGTACTGAAACAAAACTTTTAATTAAATGTGACCTTTGAAAAGTCAGAGGTTATATCTAAAAATCCAGATTTCTTACTACTCTTGAAAAGAATAGGTCACTGTTACCAGGTGGGTATGGGAGTGAATAGCAGGGACCACATTACGGATCCCTTTCCTTGTGGCCTTCCCAAAACTAAGGCAGTTGTCATCTATGACACTGCTGCGATTTATTTACTATCATCCCTGTTTTTCTTACTCCCTCCAATTTCACTCACTCAAGGTGCCAACCTGGCTCTAGTCCCCATTTGAGGTTGCAACCACTGTTTAGTTACCTGTTTCTCTGTCTCTCATACCTATGAAACTCTAAGTTTCTTGAGAGTAACAACTTGTTTCTCTTTCACCCCTCCATTCTGACTGGTATATATTCAACTACTTTCTGAATTCACTAAATTATTAGTCAATAAAATAGGAAAAATGCTAACATTTAATCCATCATGAATGTTGCTTCATACACTTTAGCAGTTGATAGCACTGTTTCTTTACTACGCTTAAATTCACTTCAAAATTCTATATCCTTTTCACACCTAAGTTACAAGTAGGTTCTTGAGGGTTGGTATAATGAAAAGCAGAGACATGGAAAAGAAAGAGTTCATGTGTTTTGAAAGCCTACTATGTGCCAGGCACTGTACTAGGCTCAATAATTAAGGTGGCTGGTGGCGGGGGGAGGAATATCCAGCAGCTAGGAGTGCTTGGCACATCCCTCGGGACCAGGTAGGACCAGCATTCCAGAACAGCCAGTGAGCTTCTGCAACAAGCAGAAATAATACAGAGTTGCCAGGCCAGAGCAGTTACTGGTTATTTTGTGTAAACTTCGTAGGACACTTACAGCATTCTTACAAGTGGTGAACCCATGCCAGGAAAGAGTCTATACTAGAGCCCCTGACTATCTCCACCCACAACTGAGGGCCTCTTCTCTTTTCAATCAAAGCAGTCAATTCCATTACACCTGCCATTAGGAAGACTAACTAGATAGCCCTGTTGTCCTATTCCCTTGGAGGAAAAAGATCAGAAAGAAATGTGTCATATAATCCCTATCAAAACAGAAAAAGGAAAATTTGAAATCAGAAATAGTAGTTTTCACTTAATGGTATAACCAGCTTTTAAAAAAGAGTATAATCAGCTTTATTTAAGAAAAACTATAAAGTAAATAATTTGGCCTAAAGGTAGTCTGTTGCTTGAGATGCTGTACTGTAAAACCTTTTTTAAAAGTAAATTTTTTATTTAAGATAATTGTATGTTCACCTATAACTGGAAGATACAATACAGAAAAATCTCTTGTACCATTATCCCCAGTTTTCCCCAGTGGTAACATCTTGCAACACTATAATACAATATCCCATCCAGATATTGATATTGATATAGTCAAGATACAAAACATTTCCATCACCACAAAAATCCCTCATGTTGCTGTGTTATAGCCATACCAACTCCCTCCTACTCCCCTTCCCCCTTCTTGTAACTCCTGGCAACCAGGAATCTGTTCTCCATATTTATAATTTATCATTTTAATAACGTTATATAAATAAATTCATACAATATGTAACCTTTGGGATTGGCTGTTTTCACCAGGATAATTCCATGGAGATTCATTCTGCTGTAAAACCTTTAACTGGTATGGACCATAAAACAGAATACAACCTAGTAAAGTAACCAAAGACCTTGGGTTCACTGATGACCCCCACTAAAGCAAACGGCACAAGAAAATTAAATTTCACTGTGCTCTGTTATCTGTAAGGGTTTTCCTGCCACTGTAAAGATGTAAAGACATTCTTATCAAATTGTTTCACCACCAAGCCCATTTTACACACTGGAATTATAAACCTTTATACTTGTACGGCCATGAAGGCTTGTGAAACTTATCTCCAAAAAACATGACTTGTTAAGTGAGTTCCAAAATCATCATTATTAATCATCACATAGTAATAATTAATCATTATATTATGAATAATTTACAATGAACTTCCTGAATTTTCCTACTTTAAGTCCTTGCTCTCTCACACTACAAAAAAAAAAAAAAAGCCTCACGGGAATTGCTGCTGTTTGAAACATGCCCCAATAGTGAGTTGTTGTTGTTTGTTTTTTAAGATTTTATTTATTTGAGAGAGAGAGAGAGAGTGGGGCGGGGGGGGCGGGGAGGCACAGAGGGAGAGGAAGAAGCAGACCCACTGAGCAGGGAGCCTGGCAGGACTCAATCCCAAGACCCTGCCCCGGAGATAAGACCTGAGCGGAAGGCAGACGCTTAACCAACTGAGCCACCCAGTCACCTCAATCATGTTGAGTTTTAACCACTGCAAAGAAAGAAACACGACAGCTCCAAAATCTTTAAAACCACAAACTGATTTGTTTGTTCTTCAAATTTTTCCTTCAACACATTTAGGACATTGTTCATAACCACTTCTAATAGCTGCCAAACTTGGCAAGAGAATCTCATCACTGAATGATTATTTGAAAAGGAGAAGCAAAATTCTGACCAGAGAGACTAACTTTCTACTCCTTTTCTACTCCTTACCATTTTAAGACAGAAACCAACTAGGCTCATCTCACCTTAGCAAGCCTATAATACAAAGATCAAGCTACAAACAATGAAAGCGTCTGTAATCTGTTGCCATGTTTATAAAACATAAGCCTAAAATTCATCGATCTTTTAACCAGATCCACAGTACTCTGTACTGGTGATACAATTTGTTAAGCAAATCAAAACTCAATTGTCACCAGACATAAGATTTTTAGATGAAGCACATACTCTAAAATTTCATATATATGGAGAAAGAGAAGAGGGAGGGTGGAAGGAAAAAAAAACTCCCAGGCAGTTCTCTCAAATGTTTAAGTTAAACTATGGAGAAAAGTAACAGAATATTACCTAAACATGTAATTACTTGTCCAGTAAAAAAAATTAACAGCACCATAAGAGACTCTTAATCTCAGGAAACAAACTGAGGGTTGCTGGAGTAGAGGGGGGTGGGAGGGATGGGGTGGCTGGGTGATGGGCACTGGGGAGGGTATGTGCTATAGTGAGCGCTGTGAATTGTGTAAGACTGTTGAATCACAGATCTGTACCTCTGAAACAAATAATACATTATATGTTAATAAAAATAAATAAAATAAACGGCATGTAAACTTTAACTTTCTCAATAATTTTACTGCATATACACGTATGCACATGAACACATATACACACACCGCTTTAGGACAGATGTCCACATCGGAACCCCCAATTACCACTCCTTTTCCTCTCAGAGAAGGGTCCTAAGGCTAATATCAATGGTTCCACTTAGACACTGCAGGTTAGCCAGGACAATAGTCCACACTCTTTACTCTGATATTAGCTCACTAACACAGGTTTGTCTCCAGAGCCTAAGAGAAAACTTCTAGAGAGCAGAGACCCACATCTCATTCATCTTTGTAACACCACAGTGCTACCATCTGCAGATGTGCTACAAAGAGTAGGCACTAAAGAAATGCTGAATGTTAAAACGACAACATATGTTTGAGGTAGAGACCTATAAATTCCAAAATGCAACCGGAAAATTTTCAAACTCCTAAACATCCTAAAGAGGGTAGAGAATATATAGCTCAGTGGCACTACGTGTCCGAAATCTTTTGTGTGCCCTTTAAATAAACACTCTATGGCTCCATTTTCTCATCCGAACAATGAAGATAAGAGCACCTAACTTCAGAGGATTTTGAATGGGTTAAAAAGCTGGTATAGGTAAAGTCCTTAGATCACCGCCAGGAACATTACACACTACGTAAGGCTTAGCTGCTGATATTATTGAAAAAGACTATTAGAGCAAAAGTAAGGCTCATGCAGTCCGACAAGAGGCCAAAAGCTTAAAAGAAATTGTTCTAGGAAAGATTAAGATCAGAGGTTGGCAAACTTTTTCTGTAAAGGGCCAGATTCTACTATAAATACCGTAGCTTGTCAGGCCAAGAGACAATATCCTCAACCCTTGGGCCAATTATTCTCCCTGAAAGGCTAGCAGGCTTTTTGTTACATTTCACATTTTAAAAACTTAAGAACCATTCTTACTACGTGGGCCCGTATAAAAACAGGCTGGATTTGGACTCAGGGACTTTAGTTTGCCGACCTCTGGATAAGAATGTAATAATGATAATACAAGTCCGTGCTTTTTAAAGGCAACATAAGGAAACGTTTGTGAGTTGATTAAAGCTGACTGAAAAACGTGCTGCTCCCAAACTTCTAAAATCCAGACATGCAGGGCCGGTGTGGTGGGGAAGCCAGAAACGGGGAGTAGGGCTTCAGGAAACAGCGAGGACCTCGCACGGCTCTCTGGGTCCGGCAGAGCCTCCCTGCCACACTTACTCCCAGCAGCGGCCCGCGGCCGATCACCGTCTCCCCGGGGGCCAGGGCCACCCGGGGGCCGCCGTCCTGCGGCTGCAGCTCGAAGCCCCCGGACATGGCGGCGAGGACTACACCCCTTCGCAAGGAGACGGTCCCCGCAGCCGTTTCCGCCTTCCATGGACACGCGCGGGGCCAAGGCAGGCCCTCAGAAAAACGCAGGGGGAGGGGGAGCACAGGCTCCGCTCGAGTGTCTCCAGGCCTCGCTCAGCCGAGGCCCCAGCTCCGCGTCCGAGTCCCGCCTCCCCTCCCCGACCCGTGACGCGCGCCAGGATTCTTCCAACACTCCGCCTCCAAATTATTTTTTAAAAGCCCGGGTTAACCACCCCCCTACCCTTTCTCACCGCCCACCCGCCGTGGAGGATGCCGGGCCCTGTAGTCCTTGGCGCCTCCTTCTCCTCTCTTGCTGAGCTGAGACGCCCTGGTAAAACTACCACTCCCAAAAGGCAACGCGCGCATCTCTCTACGCCTGTACGAAATCCGAGTCAGCAAGGCGGAGCTACAGTGGGCGGGACTGGAGGGACTATGGCGAAGGATTCGAATTCCAAAGGATTTAATTCGCTGGAGGAGCTACCGAGGCACTGGAGGTAGGAGGGTCTTCCCTTCCAGCAGACGTCTGGACGGCTCAGCTTCGGCTCAGCTCCCTAGAACTGCGGTGACAGTCGGTGCTGACGGTTGTTATTGTCGCTTGTCATTGCTCCGTGTTCTTTGGACTCGGGCAGCTGCAGACTGCGCCAGACCCTCAAGGAGGGTGGCTCAGTGGGATGTGGGGTCATTCCTTCCGACCTGCGGGGTTGGTCTGCGCTGCCTCCCTATCCCTCCCTCCTTGTGACACCGGAAAAGGGGCGAGCTCTTACCGAACTAGAGAGGTAATTCAGCAAAGTATGGTTCATAAACAAGAAGGGGCAGAAGAGGAATAGTTGTCCAGGTATCCAGGCAAAACTGGACTTAAAAGAAGATGCCTAGTGGGAGTTTAAGAACCTCACCAAGGTACCCCCAACTGTTAAATTCAAAAAATTCATTTGCCTCCTGGGGAAGAACTGTAACGAGAGGATGCATTTTATTCACCATTGAGATTCTGGGACAAGTAACAAATGTTTAAATGCACGGTAATGTTCTCTTAATATGAAATTTTGTTCAAGAATATAGTAGTTTGGCTTGGTTTGTTTGATGGTGAGAGAGATGAGTTCCGTGGCAAAAACTTGCTCTTGACTCATGAATTTGTTTCTATCAGTTTGCTTTCTTACTTCCCCAAAACTTCGAGAGGAAGTTCTCTGTTGAGCAGAGGCATTAAAATTCTAACCACCAAAGCTAATTCGGATCATAAACAACCAAATGAATGGGAGCAACTGTGGCCTTGGCAAGTCCAGAAACATAGGTGAGTAACATGTCTAGAAAGGGGAATAATCATTAGCCGAATTAAAAAAAAGTATTTAACAAACCCCTCTTCCTGCACTGTCACACACACACACACACACACACACACACACACACACACACCCATTATAAAAGAAAGTGCAGCACGGAATAAACTGATTTTTAATATGAGCTGTCTTTATATGCAAAAAGCTCCATGCTCTCAACTGATTTTGGAAGTCAACCCATCTTTAATTATATGCTGTACCTAGCTGAATTATAAACATTGTTTATAGCTGTTAGTTACATAATTATGCATGTAGGATAGCTTCAAGAGGCCATTTCTAAAACACTAATCTTATAACTGTACTGAATATTTGAGACCTTGTGTCATTATAACCTGGACTTCAACCTCCTGTCCGTTTCAGATAGTATTTATGTCATCTGTGAGCACCTACCCATTAGGTACAAGTAGATAAATAATTATATATACTACAAAAGTCCATCAGATTTATGATTAAATCATAGATTGTAGATGAAGAACTGAATGACAAGGCATCAGCGCCCACAGACAAGTATTTAGGAGTTGAAGAGAATTGAATCATACACATTTTTCAGAAGTATTTTTGACAAATGCTTGGAATCAAATAGGTTCCCACAATAGTCATTTCTACTATTAAACTCAAATTATAGTCTGTGAAGAATCACTTCTCTTTTTTAGATAATGTTCTCTGGGAGCAGAAAAACAAATGTTTAGAAACAAACCCATTTACTAAAAACATTTTCAAAGAAGAAGGGAAGTAACATGTGTTGAGTGCCTCCCATGTGCAATTCAGATGTGAAGCTAGATGCTTTACACATAATCCCTGTTAATCCCTGTAAGAACACACAGGAGAGATGCATCATTGGCCCCATTTTACAGGTTGAAAAACTCAAAGTTAAGGTTCTTTCAATCATACCCAGAATGTATCTGGTTCAGAGTAGGTTCTGTCATCTGATCTGAAGAGACTGAGCATGTTTAAACTTTGCCTTCTAGGTTACATATGAGGATAATCTGCTAAAACATCAAGCTATGCAGAAAAACTCCAAGAGGAACAATAATTCAAGACTTTCTGGCATAGAATCGAATTCTGTGGATGCTGAGAAGGAAAAAAAAGAGAGTCAAAATAACTTTGTTGAACTGCTGCCTCCAGAAGTTACTTTTAAAATTTTCAGTCAGCTAGACATTCGGAGTTTGTGCAGGGCTTCAGTAACCTGCAGGAGCTGGAATAACACAGTAAGAAACAGTGACTCCTTGTGGAAACCTCATTGCTTGACTCTAAGAGCTGTGTGCCAAAGAGAAATAGACGATGATCTAGAAAGTGGATATTCCTGGAGAGTAAGTTTAGTCTTTGTAGTCTGCAGTGTTCTTGACAATATGGTGGTAGGTTTGAGCCAACCCCACCTTCTGCCTGAGGAGGTAGGATTTCAGAGACGGAGTGGCATACAGAGCGTGTTGGCTTTTGGAGTTGAAGTTGAATTATTCTTCTCCTACAAACCACACCATCCCATCCATCCTTTTACATTTCTTTAAATCCTAAATTTAGGCACATTCCTCTGTTAGCTACTTCATTCTACTTTATCCAAAACTCACAGCAAATTCCATGGCTCATTTTGCTTATGTACACGGATACATACGCCCACACACACACATACACACACAACACATTTATTAGTATATGTGTGTATCAGTGTAAATACTTAATCTTCTTTTCAGCCCTGTCAATCAGCTCCTCTAGTTTTAAACAAACTCACTGACCAACCACCTACTACATTCTTTAACAGTGATGATTTACCTCTTTCAGGTAATACTATTGAGGAATTACCAGAAGAGTAAAGTGAAACACGAATGGCTAAGTGGCAGATACAGCAACATATGTTCTCCTCTGAGCCTACCAGAAAAAATCATGTACCCAATGGATGTAGATACATGGGGGGAGATTCTAGAAGCAGAACTGGAAAGATAAGCCAGAAAACTACAAAGATCTTGTAACTCTGAGACTTTCAAACAAAAATGACTCTTAGGTTCATTTTTTTGTTTACCATTTTAATGGTTAACATTTAAAAGAAAACTAAGTAGAAGATATTATGAAAGTCAAACTTTGTTTTTATTCTGTACTTTCATAAAAATTTTTCTGGTTTTATTGTAAGGTAGAAAAATCATGAAATGTTGTGTATGTAGGAAATACTATACGGATAGAGTGATTTCAAAATGTATTGCTTCATGTATTTGTATCAGCATATTGCAGTACTCTAATGACAAGAGAGTTTGATTGGTATTTTCTACTGAATAGTAATTCAAACATTCAGGAAACCATTTGAAGAAACTGATTAGAGATTCATTCAGCAGTAGGCATAATTAGGCTCTTAACTGGAAGTAGACAACACTAGGAAGACTACCTAAATGAAATTAATCACTATATATTTAAATGTAGAGTGTAATACACTTATATTTCAATAACTTAAAATGTCTATTTCAGTGGAATCAGATTGAATTGTCAAACATTGAGCCCATCTTAAAATGTGTTAAACTTGTGGTTTAGTTTAAAATTAACCTGATCAGAAGGCTAAAACTTGTGAGACTAAGATTCCCATTACTTGCCTACAGACCTGGAACTGCTCTCAGGGACAATGGAAAGTTTCCGGTAACACTTGAACTGCCACACTGTTTTTCTTGGTAAAAGCTTTCTTTCCAACAGCTTTATAGCACCATCTAGTGTACGCCTCGTAGATAACCAAGGCAAAGGACTTAAGGTCCTTTTTGTTTTCCTCACATTTAAAAGAAAAAAATATATATTATTTTAGAGAACGCTATATACCTGACTTAAGTTTATAGCTCTTCAGGAACCTTCAGTTTAACTTTAGTTCTCTTTTTCTTAAAAGTAGATGGTATAGTACTCACCATACCAGATTGTTCGTTCTGAATCTGTGGTCAGCATCATAGTAAAAAGTGTCTACAAAACATTTTAGTTAGTATGGCATTTTCTTCTTAAATTGTGCTCCATAGCACAAAAAAGAAGCATCCAGGAAACCTGTATCTAACAAATAGACACAATATCAGAAAGATGCCTCATTCTATACAAATTCCCCTCGTTGGATCAAGCAGGTGAGGATCGGCTGGAAGGAGCCTTGAAGATCAGGCAGTGCAGTCTCTAGGACTAGTTAACAATCCCTTCTAGAGAAATTCCTCTCACGCTCCCACCCACCAAACTCTCTTCTTGGCAGACTCTTTTGTAAAACTTACCCTCTTGACCTGGAAACCATCTCTAGATCCTACCATTCTGGATTAAGTGACCTTCAATGGAGTTCCCATAGTTCTTTGCACATACCACTCTTAAAGCTGTCTACTACATTAAAATGTATCTGTTTTATTTGTCTGCCTCCCCTGTTAGACTGTGAGCTTCTTGAAGGCAGGGACCATTTATTTATTTTTATGTTCCCCGAACCTGGAATACAGTAGGTATTCCATAAAGATTTGTTAAATTATTTCTGTATTATTTATTTTAATCCTACCCAGATTGTATAATAAAAATAATTTGCTATATTGTTAGTGGACAAGACTGTACTGAAATGCAGTGTGCAACCCATAAGGTAGATGGGATGCTTACTATTAATGCAAATACATGAATAATTGTTTTAGTCTTCTCAAAAGCTGTAAGAGAGAAACAGGAAAATAGAAATGTTTTGTTTTATGTCTTGGAATAAACACCTGAAAATCAACTTAACCCAAAAGTATCACTTATTTTCAATTATTAGGTCACCCCAATGAGTTTTAAGTATGATTTTGCAAGTTATATGAATAATCTTTAGTTTGGTTGTTTTTAGTACTGTAGCATTAAAATTATTTTATATAATAAGTTATAAGCTATGATCATATTCTACACAGAAAGGAAAGTTTGGTAACTTAATGATAAATTTTATGGTATGGGCCTAGAATGAACTGTACATTTATCAGACCAAGCCATTAGCATCTGAGAACATGAGTGGGTGGAGTAGAATGGAGGGAAGGAGTGCTCTTACTCATAGATAAAATAACATGTTACATAGGCACAGTTTCGTTGTTGCATAGAACAACAACATAGAATATTGTTGGCATAGAGTATTAAGGAGTTTCCAGTGTTATCTGATATTTAATCAGTTCAAGAGCTAGTATTTTTTTTAATTTAGAAACCTTTCTTTAGTTGCTTCTAGTCTATAACCCAGTCTTAGACCAGAACATAATCACCAATAAAATCTGTATGAATATAAGCTTTAGACCTTAGAATACCCAAGTAAATAAAAGCCTAATTTGAAAAATATACCACTAACCACTTTAATTTCATCTTTGCTTTGATTTCATATAATATCTTCTCTCCAAAACTTCAAATGCCCTAATAATAACAAAAATAAGACGACTAGTAACATCATGGGAAGAATACATAAGATGAAAGAGCACACATTTTTATTTACAGTAGAATTGAAAGACTGAAATCATCAAATAGATGAAATTAGGTCAACAATGGAGAAAGTTGATTAATTGTAATAGCCAACAGTTATTGAGTACCTACTCGGAACCAAGCATAGTGCTTCTATAGGGGATACTATTATGCTACACCCTTTCTATGGATGAGGAAAATGAAAATTAGAGAATGATCTTATCTATGTAGTTCGTCACCACCCCCCAGCACCTATGAGTATGTAACATGCAGTAAGTGCTCAATAAATTTTTATTGAATGAATTAAAAACTTACCTGAGATTGAGTAACTTGAATGAAGAAGCCAAGAATGTTCCCCCAACTTTTTATTTTGAAAAATTTCAAACACAGAAAAGTAAAAATATATGACAAAAAACTCATGTATATCCTCACCTAGATATACCAGTTGTTAACATTTCCACATTTGTTTTATTTATTATTTATTTTTGCTGAAGCTTTGGAAACTAAGTTGCAGACATGATGATACTTTACCCCTAAATACGTCAACATGCATCTCCTAAGAATAAGTACATTCTCCTATATGCAATACCATCATCACATCTAAAATTTTTATATTGATTCAATAATATAATCTAATTTACAATCCTTATTTAAATTTTCTTAATGGCCACAAAAATATATAGGTTTTTTTTCCAATTCAGGACCCAAACAAGGTTTACAAGTGCATATCATTTTTTATGTCCCCTTAATCTCTTTTAACCAGAAGCATCATGCTGCCATTGGTTTTGTTTTTCAGAATATTGACTTGTTGGGTTTTTTTTTTTAAGAATTCAGGTTGGTTTTCTTATAGAATGTTCTGTAAATGATTTGTCTGATCATCTCTTCATGATTTGATTCAGGTAAAACATATTTAGCAATTATGGTGGATGTAATAGGCTTCTTAATGCACCACATTAAAAGGCACATAATGTCTGATTGTTTTACTGTGTGACAGAGTAAGTCTGATTATTTGATTGAGGTGGTAATCATCAGATCTCTCCGTTCAAAGGGATATTTTCCCATAAAGCCAAAATTTCTTTTTTCAAGAACCTGTTTCTAGAGTATTCCCCTTTGACTGACCCTATGCTAAATGCTTTATAACATTTTCTTATTTCATCTTCATAATTAGACTTTCAAAGAACACAAGAAGTCATCTTCAAGGTATTTTGCAGTTAATCTAAATATCAATGTAAGAAGATGTAAAGCCACTATTTAAACCCAAATCTCTTTGACTTCAGAGACAAAGTTTTGAACCACTAGAGTATAGTGCCTTTTATAATTTTGACACTTAGTCCCTACACTGAAGCAACACGAAGGACTAAGATTAACAGGGAACACCTCCCGTACAAATATCTAGAAAATGAGAGGAAATCAATATTAGACATATAGAACTTAACATTTCTGCTAATAGTAGAACAGTTAATTCTAAGCCTTCCTACATAGGACAACTTGAAAACCTGAAGCAAAAAAATTTATTCTACCTGAAGGCATCATAGAGTTAACAATGTAGTAAAGAAATATTAGACCAGTTTCTGGAAAAAGAAAGAGAAGCAGAGAGGTAAGCCCATGATTAAGATTAATCTTACCATGGAGCATTTGCCAATTTCTGCAAGAGCAACTGCAAGATTAAACAGATTCTGAAAGCTTCTCAAGATTATGAGGACAATGAGTGGAATCTAGGACTCACTAAGAGTAGGAGAATGAGGAAACCCTCTCCTTAGTAACTCCCCTCTTGTAGTTTGGGACCCAGAAGGACTCCACCCTAAGCAGCCATAGGAATGGGAGTGGCCTGGAAGTACACAAAATCTCACAAGAGAATCATGCACTTTCAAAACACCTCAGTCTCTGAAACTGGCATCTGAGGATCCCAGAATAATAATGCCCCAGACAGCTGGCAGAAGCAAAAAAAGTCCTCCCTGGAGAAAGATATCAACTTTGTAGACTTCGCATTATGTCTGCGAACATTTTTTAAAATCAGTGTCTGATGCATACACACACACGTACAGACACACATATAAATAAGGGGTCATGATAACATAAATAAAAACAGAAAGACACAATAGAAAAGACCCACAGTTGGAGTTATCAGATGAAGCCTCCAAAATAACAAAGCTTGAGGTAATCAATGAGATAAAAGGTATGCTGAAAATTTCAACAAAAGGACTGAAAATAATAAAAAGAGCCAAGCGGGAATTTTACAACTAAAAAGAATGGCACATTAAAAAAAGCAATGTTAAAAAAAGTGATCTGCTATTTAACAGCAGATTAAACCCAGCTGAAGAGAGGGGAAAGCATTCGTGAATCTGAAGATAGGAGCAAAGAAAATATCCAGAATGAAGTAAGGAGAGAAAAAGAATGAAAAATACAGAACAGAGGGCAGTGGGAAAATATTAATAAAGTGTGAAGGTCTAATATATGTGTAGTTAGAGACCAAGAAGACAAGACGGGATAGAATGAGGCAGAAGCAATTTTGAAGCAAGGACAGCTACGAACTTTCTAAAACTGATGAGAAACCACAATTCATAAATTCAAGAAGCCCTACAATCTGCAAACATGTTAAATAAATCATATACTCACTAAAC